CACTAGCTTTTTTTTAAGTGGGGAAAATCATTGAATGACTGCTCTCACCTGGGTGAGGCGGAAGGGAATGTCAGACTCTTACTGACTAAAAACCATCCCGTTCCTACTCATGCCCTTCGAGCCGGAGCCCCGGCGACCCGTTAAGTCCTCCGCGGCTCCGTACCGGCATTAGCCCTATTGGGCCCCATGCGTGGTGGTCTGATGGCTCTTTGAGGCGCGCGCGCGTACGCTCGGGTCTGGTTCTGGTTGGGCGGCGAGCCACCCACGCTCGCCGTCCGCAGGCCACGCTTACGGTGGCCGGAGATCGTTTATTAGACTAGCTTAGCTTGTTAATAATGAAGAATCACTTTCAGAATCATATTTAATTATTTTAATACCTAGGTACCTACTATAGCTACTCCTCTAGTGATGTTTTGTAGTAAGTAGCGTGCTGTATGATAGTCTTCCTCTATAAATGATAAAAACTATCCGAAAGAAAGTACGTAGGTATACCTCTAGATATGCGATTCACTTGTGACTTCCGTAATTCCAGACTATAAGCGGTGTATTGTTAGACACTGAAGATGAACCTATCAGCGGGAAAAACTTTAAACATTCAAAAGTGAGTACTTATTTACCTAATAATGTAGCATATCTCCAGAATTGAACAGGTAGGTAAAGCAAAGTAATGTGACTATTTTCCTAGTACCTCGGTATATGAACCTACGTACGAATCCATACATATTTAGGTTTCAACTGACGTTTGTTGCAGAATCGTATTGAGCGGGATGTAAGTCATTTAAGGAAAGAAAAATGGACGGTAAATCATAAAGTTTATCTACAAACCTACCCCGCTTTAAGTGTTCAACCGCTGGAATCTGCCACACTCTCTATGACGTCCGCTACGTACCAAGCCAGAAGTTGTGGTACGTCGTCAACGTCTTAACATTAAAACATATTAAACACTAGATGTAAATTAATCATTTATTGTTTTCCGTGTTATTGATAAATCACAGCATTTTGTGGGCTGAATATGGGACCCAACAATTAAACACATCATTACAAATTATCTTACCAAATACTTAGGGCCTTATCATATTAGCGGAAGCGGTTCTCGGGCGGCGCGGACGCGCAGCGAATGCATCGCGAACACGCCGTGGCTGCGCAGCGAACACGTTGCAGACGCGTGTCAATTACCTACATTACGTTTCCGTCGCGTGTAGGTATGTAGACAGTACAAAATGGCATCCACTTTGCTGTTCGCGGCAATCCCGTTGCGCGTCCACAACGAATTCGCTGCGTATGCGCGGTGTGTTCATTGTGTGGCCGTATTAGTCCGTAACGAATTCTTTGCGCGCCCGCTCCGCTTTGAAGACGTTCACGATCGGCTAGTATGATAAGGCCCTTAGGTTTAGGCATATTAAGTAAACTTTACCATTTCGGTCATGAACTCCACCTCATTCTTAAATGGTTAAAACTCATTGCAAAAGTAGGTACTATCAGTACTCAAATGCCTAGGTGTCCTCAAAGATTTCAGTCTTTATATTGCTTTCGATGATGACATGATTTTCGTATTCCTCCTTTTGTTGGTTCTGCCATGTGTGCATTTGAGATGAAAGTTGTTCTTCTGCATCTATAATAACTGCAAAAATTTTTTTTTTCACTTGTGTTTGCATCCAGTGGGGCATTTCTCTGGTACTTTGTAAAATACAATTGAAAAAAGATTCGAGTGCGTCTTTCTCCTTTTCTTGTAGTTTTACCCCTGAGGCAGCTGGCTCTTCGGAGTCTGGACAGCGGCGTTTAGGTGGAATAACATCCGATTTAGTATTTGTCGTAGAAACATCGTGTTCAGAAGTTTTCCCCATTGTAACAGGTGGATCAATTTCTATATTCTCAGAAATGCGATATTTCATGTGGGGTTCAAGGAATTGCATAGCTTTTGCATATTTCCAAGTGGTTACTTGAGCTGGTAACAATTTGTTTTGTCCTAATTTAGCTCTCTTCAAAGCCTCTCGATGATTGTCACGAAGTTTTCTCCATTCGGTTCGTGCAGTTTTAACTGAAATAAATTAAAAACTATTTTACCTACTTCTTTTTAGTTTGTTCCACTTCAAAATGACAAATACACGGTAAAAGACACATAGGTACGTCCCTGTCATCGTGTATTGTCACCAACGCCACCATATTATTATCGTACTAATATTATATTACAAATAAAAAGTTTGTATGTTTGTTTGTTACTCCTTCACGTCAAATACGGCTGAGGGGACTGAGTTGAATTTGGCTATTTTTTATATATTCTACAGGAACGCGGGTGAAGCCCCAGGCAGAAACTAATTTTATATACATTTTATTTTAAACTAGTGAAACGAACATTGTTTCACACAATATTCAGCACCCGGTTGAACAGCCACTGCTCCAACCATGTAGTCAAAGCATAATAATTAATCTATATCTATACATAAATATAGTAATAGGTACTGTAGAAGTGTAACTTCTGTACCTACATTAAAAATATAAAAAATACCTAATAGTAATAGGGGCTGTTACTAGATAGACAACGAATACAAAAATGTGATTAAAAAGAGTTTTTATCTGTATGTCTGAATGTTCACGCATCACGCAAAAACTACTGGTATGATTATACTTTAATATCCTGGGCACTGGATACTTTTATCCCAAAAAAGTATATACACGAAAAACAAACTTAATTGTGCGGCTGAATCCCTAGACACAGTTATTGTACCAAACGCAAATATAAGTTTGACGAATGCTAGATTGCCCGCAGTGGACTTTACGCTGTAATGGTAGGGCCGATGGTTGAAATTAGCTTGAACCCATATTATAAATGTGGAAATATGTGAGTTTCTGTGTATATTTTTTACTCAGTCTCATCAACAAAACGGCTGAAGGGACCGGGATGAAATATGGAACAGAGTTAGATTAAGGTTCGAATAAGTAATACATAGGTTACTTTTTAACCCTGAGAACGCGGCGCACCCGCTGGCAAACATACAGCGAAATTTATAACCTCCTCCTTTTTGGGAAGTCGGTTAATTAGCTACTTAAAACTAAAAATACGGCACATAAGTCGGAGCAGTCGTTATACATATATGCTCGGCTATGTTTTCACAAAATAAATTGAGACTGCTATTGTCGTGTTGACAAATTTTCATTGTATATACCTACTTACTTATCATTATATCTTTTACATTTCACTCTATCTCATTTATAAACAAATTAGAACTTTCGCAAAGTGGATAAATAACATCGCAAAGTAACAAGACGGTATTCAATCAGTGTAATATTAAAATTCATCAAACAAAATATAAACAACTTCAGTTCGCTGCCATAGGAAAACTAGTTTTGACCATGTATTACATTGACACACAAAAACGGTCCTCAAAACACTCGTTCTAGTTGGTAGCTGAGGTATCATGTTCACATATGAGTAAGGTATGTACTTACTATTTGATATAGAACTGTCGTTAATTTCTTCAATAACGTTTTGCCAGGCTTGCCCTCTAGCATGAACATCGGCATTGTGCGGGTGCTGTGGGTTCCATAGGCAGGGGTGTGCTCTTACAGCATGTATGAATCTTTCCATTGTTTTGTACTATGCGATAGAACGCGGCAAGGCTAGCGATACGACTATACGAGACATGACCTACCTGCGCGCTACGTGCCGAGTGGCTCTGCATGTCGGACGGAGCCACGGAGCCCTCCCTTTACAATCAAACCGGTTTTTGTGTTGAACACTGGCCACCGGTGCTATAAAACCGGTTAGAACGCTTTCTCACTGGCGTTACTCGAACAAGCAGGATTTATTCAATATAGACATTGTATCTGTCTTGTACTTGGGTATACTTATAATATATTTCACGAATTCCATTGTGAATATCGCAATTCACTGATATTCGCAGGTTATTGGGTTTCTCGGTTCCTCTCTTTTAGACAAAAAGAAAAATAGCTTGATAAACAGGCATAATGGATGAAGAAGTTATTACCTACACCATACCTAAGTATCTAGGTACTTAATACTTTTTCTCTAGGTACTTCTTATCTCTTTTAACAGAAATTAATTTTGATTTTGTTGTAGTTGATAATTATAAGTATGCCAATATTGTAAACACGACATTGGTCAAACGCAGCAAGCGCAGTGAACATAACATTGTGGTTGAAGAAGTCAGTGACGATAAACAATGGGATTCGAAAAATGGGTTCTATCACATATCGGAACCGGACAGAGGTCCTATGCAGGGAATCGATGATGATATTGTTGAAAGACCGGCAAATATTATGCATGAAAAAGAAACACCAGAAATGTTCGTCACTAAGTCATTAAGTAATGAAATTTCTAAAGCTGATGAAAGAAGTCATCTAAAAAAAGTGATTCGTTCAAAAATTTCGAATTTCAAAGAAAACGAATTAAAATCGGGAAGAAATAAATATTCCGAAAAACATAAAACAAGCCCTTCATCTCCTAGAACTAAAGAAACTAAAGCTCCTGTAACAAAGAAGCGATTTGAAGATAAATATGAGGAAAATCTAGATTCGAAAGAAAAGGATGGAGAATCTGAAAGAGACTATGCTGTTTACGAGATCGGTCATCCAGAGCTTTGGTACACAGTGCACGTGCAGCTGTTTGAAAAATTAAGTACGCCTGACGGAAAAACTGTATGGAATGACTTGACCAAAGGGGAGCTAGCAAGGTAAATCTTTAATTGTCTTGCTCTCTGGAGGTCGGGAGTGTAGGTACCTAGTGTGTACACAATGTACACATTCTCGAAAAAAACAAAAACAAACGATGCAAAGTATCCCAAGGTCGCTTATTATAACCTAACGAAATAAACATGAAGTCCTTTAGTATTTTGTATTTTATATTGCAGTGTAAGTTCCACGTCTCCGGAATGGACTGGGCAGGATCTGAACGTCCGTTATCGTCCTGCTGAGTGGATACCCAGAGACGAGTTTTCTTTGCCATCCAGCAGCCTATGTCTTTTAGCACCTATTCGTTCAGGAGAAGCCTCTGCTTATAACGATAACGGCACTAAGCTGAATGGTAAGAGAGGTTACTGGTTCGAATTAATTATTTTGCTTTTTCTTTCTGATTGTATCTCTAGTTAAGTAGTTACATCCGTTTATGGTCGAAATAGACATGTAACGTGCAAATTCCATAGTAAAGCCTGTACCTATATCCGTGTTACAAGGTGACTCTGACGACGAAGGCTACATCGTTCTCCCTGAAGAAGACGTAGTAGGGTTGAAAGATGATGATGGAAACATTAAGCGACACAACGACAACAACTCCGATTCTGAATACATTTCGAGGTCTGAGGAACAAAGGGAACGGGTAATCACATATAAAGAATAGTAATAAGTAATGTAATAATTGAACGTTTATTTTGTCCGTCACTAAATAAATCCCTATTTACAGGGTCGCCGAAGAGTGGTCGTGCGCACATCTAGAGCATTACTCACTGGAAAGGAGGAAAAAGTCAACATTGCATGCCAGGGTGCCAACAAATACCTAACGATACCACATCGACGGCCACATCACGCTCAGATTGATTTAGAGGCACGAGCTGATGAGAATGAGCTCGTTCGTGTCGGGTAACTGCACTCAATTATTAAAATAAAAAATTAAATTAAATTAATTTTGATTTTTTATTTCTTTTTGAATTGAGCTCTCTTATACAGTGCATCGGGACGAATTGCAATTGCTGTTGCGGATAGCTCTCGTAAAACACGGACTGTTATTACGCTTCAAGTCGGAAACACGGGATTAGCTGCTGCCCGGTTCAGGTTAAATAATATATGTTTTATCATTCAATAGTGTCATTTTTAATATTATTTTTGTTATTTATTTTGCTACACAAATTTATTTGATAACACAAATAAATAGAAAAAAATATCCAGGGTCATCACGCGGGACTGTGGACCAGCTTTGTCTGATCTGATAAACGAAAAAAATAAACCAGTGACAATGGCGGGACCGGTGCTGATCCCTCCGCGACATACACGGACTCTGAGGTTGGAGTTGCCGATCGAGATTCCTGTGGATGTCGCTCAATGTTCAGGTAAGTATCACATTTATCACGTTGTCTTTTTACTGACTTCAAAAAAAGGAAGAGGTAAAAAAAGCAATCATCCAAACATAGATTAGTTTTTTGTTTGTTTGTTCACCGATTAGGTACTCCGCCATTTGTGAACCGATTTCCAAAATTTCCGATAGGGTCCCATTTTCACCAGGTCAGCCGGATCTGGTTCTGATGATGGAATCCTATTATCATATCCATATCAATATCTTTGTAGGTATAATAGAATCTAATAATTATTTATTAGCAGTTTAACTTATTAGCTGAGTTTAGTTAGGGACATACAACATACCTTAACTCCTAAGTATATATCGCAGTATCGTTGGTGAACGATGAGGAAAAGTCCGTCGCAGTAAGAGAAGTGTCTGTGAAAAAGGGAGACCGATGTTTTTGCGTGTGGCACTGTGACTGTGTCTGTCTCAGTAAGTTCACTTTTAATTAATTAGAATCTCTCTACTTTACATCACCCAAAGGTTAGTGGAGAATAAATACCATTGGACATAATTTTTTTGCCCTAAATATAAACTAGTTCTTGATTTATCTTTTTTCTATAGCTGATGATCCCAGGTTACTGTGCCGTGAAATGGCAGAAGCTCGTCAATCAGCTGCTGGCCTGTCCAATCGTGATAGAACTCGACATGCTCGGTCAGCTTGTTACAAAGACGTGGTCACGCTCAACATATTTATCATCTTTACAGGCGTTATTGTGGCGCTTTTGTTGCTAGGTGAGTAAACAATGTAATTTGCATTTTGTTTTCTACAATAGGGAACGAAGGAGTCACAATCAAAAGTCACACACAAAATTAAGGTTACATACAGTCGGATTACATTTTGATTCCACGCAACTCTTTTGTTTTCTAGGTTGCATAAAGGCCATTTTGGGGCTAATCTTCAGTTGTATTGGAATGTGGGGCTTAGACCAGATGGTGCAGCTCCCGCGAAAAATCGATCGTTATTATGAAGGAAATCTTCGGTGTCGGCCAGTTGAATACGACTGCGAAGGATACCCTATCCACCCTGACTCCAGAGAGAGGACCGTTCGTATGATAAGCAGGTGAGGATTTCTAATATTTGCGATTGTGTGCTGTCTATATATCATAATTTCTTTTTTGCTTCTATCAATAAAAAAGTAATAAGGTAAGACCTATTTTGAGACCCATACGCGATGTTATCCTAGAAACAACACCTAAGTACCTACAACTTTTGACCGATGTAAAATAACATTGTATACGTTGATGATAAAATGACCTAGGATTACGGAAACATTTTGGAGTTTATTTTATTTGGTTAATTTGCAGATCCGTGGAATTTATCCTCAACGTGATATTCTTTGTCAGCGTCCCTTGCATTATCATATGTGATGCGATCAAGGAAATGATTTCACGTTGCAGAAACCAGTGCACACAAAACCCTTGTTGTACGTCGACCTCCAAGAACGACACTAAAAAGTGTTTTAGCAGCCAGGACATGCAGGTATATATTTATAAGTACATATTTTCTATATTGTAAACAGTGAGGAATTGCACTTGTAAGTATGCATAGTACCTGTATTTGTAAAAATCGATTGGTCTATTGTTATTGTAGATAGATTGTTTCGACACTTTGAGCGAAAAGTGCAATTCCTGGCTGTTTGTAGGGGATGGCGGCGCTGCGGTGGCGGCGACGTCGCGGTGGCCTACGTAGGTGGATGACACCTGAGGCACAAGAACTCTCCAAAGAGCTCTGGAAGCAAGGCCTCACACCGATCAAATGTGAATTTGTAAGATCTGATATTTACGATATTTAATTACAGAAGTACCCAAGTATCTCCTACCGCAAAACAGTTCTTATTAGACCTTATCGCGGAATTCATTGAGAATTTGGATCATGTTTTGCCTAGACAGAGCTCCACTAATCTTTAGATATTACCTATCTACCTATAAACATACCTATATGAATATGAAGTGATTGATGTTAACAGATGCGACCCCTTTTGCGCGATGGTCGGCACATCGACTCCGCCACGCAACGAGAACAGCACGACGACTCGTGCGTGGATTCTGAGCAAGACGACACTGACTACGTTCTCACGCAGATGCAGAAAAGTAGAGAATCATTATCGGTAAGTCTATTAAAACCGGTAAGAACATAAAAAATATCCTATTAATAAAAAGGAAACCTTATTCAGGGAGGTTTGTCCCTTACTGCAAATTAGGTACTTATATAGCATTTAGGATATCTGACTGTCAGTGTTGAGTGTGGTATCATAAAATTATGCTGTGATCAATTACCTGCAAATAATAAAATTATTGTGTTTACAATTTTACTTCCAGATATTGAAGCAAAAGTCAAAACCGTGAGTCCCGCGGCGGTAATAATAGTTTTACGTATAAAGATGCTGATAGACCTGAGCATCCACTGGTAAGAGAACATGGATTCGAATCGATCTGAATAACGAACCGAGACGAACGTAAAGCTAAACATTTCAATTCAACCTACAAACAAACGTTTTCACTGGCATATTATCTAGCGAACGCTAGTCAATGTCAGTTTTGACGAAACTTAACTGTCCTTTGCCAGTGCCAGAATGCTCGGCAGAACGTTCGATGGAATGCTTGCCAGAGTGCTTTAATACAATGTTCGCTAGAAGCTCTCGTTATTTTTCTTTAACATTTCGTGTGTCTAAGACGTGGATCCACGCGAGACACAATGTATTTTCTATTGTGTCTCATATCGGTGCATTCAAAAGGTTAAAGGGAAAGTTTCTTAATGTAACACAAGAATGCCCTTTACTAGTGAATGATTATGTTTATCAGCACCTTAAAGAAATTTGTATCTATCCTGTCCTTTGTGCGCGTAAGAAGAGTCCTGCAACCTGAAGGGTTCTGAAATCCCTAAATCGATAAAATTTATTTTCTCTTTCAAATTAAGTAAAACAGGACAACACCCTTCCTACAGTCGGGAAATAACACTTCGTTTTGTTGTTATGTAGGGACTTACAATTTAAGAGATTGGTTTCTGTTATGGCGGACTTGTGTTATTAGGTTTATATAAATACAGAGCCGTATTATCCCTAAGGCAAACTAAATAAGCAACTACGGGGGAATCGCGAGGAGCGTGCCTATCTGACCATAGTGGCGCCTATGAGATGCTTGCCTAGGCCACTCGCTAGGTTTAATACGCCTCTGGGTTAATTCTATAATATTTTTTAGTAATTGTATTTCCAACCAAGCCTAGGTAGATACTAAAAGTAACTTTTGTTAAGTATATTTTATAGTAAATATACCTACTTAATTTTCATTATTTCACCTAAGTGTGTTGTACTATCAATTTACAAAATATAAATAAATATATGAAATTATAATTCCTTGTTTCAGTTTTAGTTTTTCTATCCGTTTATTGGGTCCATTATTTATGAAGCATGCACTGGTTTTGCTTTTAAATGTTTCCGTGAGAAAATTCTTATAACACGAAGTGCCGATTTTTCCAACGCCTGAACAATTTTATCGAGCGAATAATTTTAAATATTTGACAATTCTTCCGTACCAAGAAGTTGTTTTAGTACCTGACTTCCCTGAAGTCGACGATTAAATGGCATCAGGTATTCAATAAGATTCCAACAGTTATTATTAAAAAAATGACCAAGTTAAATAGTTTTTAAATTACAATTACTTATGTGTTATCCACGAAAAAGTACACCCTGTGCCAGTCTATTGATTCTTGTTGCTACAATTCTTTACTTTTTCGTCTGTAGTTTTGCTTACGTTATCCTAAATAGTGCTTCAGTATTGTGGAATCCCAAATTCTGAACCAACTGCTTTAGTTTAGTAAAGAATATTATATTTGATGATTCTCAATAAAAAATTCATCTTACTTTAAGGGACTGTACTTTTTTTTTATTTATTTGTCGGTACTTACAAAAATTTATTCCAGTATTCCCAAATGGTACCTACCTAAAATCCTCGTATGCACTAGGCAACACTTTGCACGCGACAGACGTCATCATTATGTTGCTAAACATGTTGGAAATCAGTAAGGGTCTCTAAAATAACATAGGTATAGTTTGTCTACTCATGATTCACGCGCAGCATTCGTCGGCAATATTGTTGCTGGAGGAACAGATGCTGTGGATCACATCTCACTAAAGAACATTTGATGTTCAATACAATAATGCATGGTAATGTGTCGTAAAATCAAGCGGACGTATCAGCCAGCGGTGCGATGTCGCCGGCGGCATGCTTTAAAACAACTCAAAAACCGATTAGGTACTTAATTATTGATTTTCAGCGCGCCACAGAACGTAAGTTCCTGGCAATCTTATTCTATTACTTAAAATAAATCTGTAGATAGGTCAAATCTGAGTACTAAGCACGAATAATTATAGCATTCGTATCGTAACAGTATCGAGCGAATCGGCGTTCTGATTGGATGGTTCAGCGGAGCCGGCACAATGAGGTACAACAACGCTCCTCTGTACACAACATTAACTAGTTGTATTGCCTTCTGGAATCAAAGCATATAAGTTTCTGGGAGACGCCCGACAAAGCTACGTAAAGCTGACCGTGCGAAAAACAGCTAACCGTTAAATCCAAGCCCGCAACTTTTAGCGTTCATCCTTGCTCTTTGTTGATGGTCATTACATAGCATAGGCTTACTGGGAATTGGACCCGTTTCAATTAAAATGGGAAGTTATTAGGAAACAAAGGGATTCGAGTATACATTGAATGAAGAATGACATAGTGAATTCATTTGGTCTCATATATACATGGAAGTTGGTGTACACTCAGTCAAAAAAGTATCGGGAATGGATGATTTGTTTATGGTTCCAAATTCAAATATTTGTTTTTTTTTGTAGTTGTTAGATTGGCACAACTGTTTTCCATTTTGGCGCGGAGTTTGAGTTGCATCTGTTATTTTTAATAGATATAGTGCGGGTTTGAGTAATATTATATATGGTGTGTATAGCGAATTGCATAATGGACAAAAATATCGAACAAAGAGTTTGTCTTAAATTTTGCATCGCCAATGGAATTTCGTGTTCGGTTCGATAACAACGGTTACACCAATGACAGCAATTAATTAATTTGTTATAAGACCATTACATCAATATTACAAATACACATTCAAATCCATGTCAACATTAAAAGAAATATAATAAAATAAAATAAAATTCAACTTCATGTCAGAACCCAAACCATATGAAATGTCAAGATCAATAGAAAATATCACCATGTCAGACTTGTCAGACTCAAAGTACCTACCCAAAATGTGAAAAACGTGAAAAAAAAAACCATAGGTAATAATAATTATATTATAGTAGGTAACTGTTCGTAAGAATTAAGTCACAAGTCACAACATACATGTCATTTACAATTAAGTACAACATTTTCACAAAATTGTATGGTCAACTTTACAATTTGGTTAAACCTGTCGGCTAATACGTCACAATCGGGTAGCTCCAGAGTGAGGGCATTGATTGCGCTGCGCATGCTACAAAGCGGGGAGTGCGCGCAACCTATATATTACTATACTCTTTGGAGTGCGCGCGTGATACATTGCGGTACCGCGGGTTCACGAGTAGTCTATGCCGGCGGCCGCAGCGGTGGCGCAGGTAGTTGTCTGGGACGTAGATGGTACATAATGGATTATGTAATTCTGGTGAATCAATAACATTCCGCAAAATCTTTAGTGCAGTTATGATCTGTGTCCGAGACCGCCGCACAGCCAGAGAGTTGTATCCCAGAGTACTCAGCAAAAAATCCGTAGGGTACATATATGGATAGTATCCGTACTTTCTCCTGTACAAGTAACGTAGAAAGGCCTTTTGGATCTTTTCTATTACTAATGTGTACGTCACTTCATATGGGCTCCAAACACATGCCGCAAATTCCAATTTACTTTTAACAAGGGAATTGTATAAAATTTCGACTATTTTCGGGTCCCTAAAATCTCGCGCATTACGCAACACAAAGCCCAGACGTCTATATTATGATTCGGCGGCCACTGAGGAGATGTGTTCGTGAAATGTAAGGCGACAGTCAAACGTCACACCAAGGTCACAGATGCCATAAACACGAGTCACTTCAGTATCGCCCAATGTGTACACAGCCCGACCAGGCTGCGACTTGCAGCTGAACGTCATAACATAACACTTGCTTGTATTAAAGTATAATTTGTTGGTCAAACTCCACTGCAATAAGCGGTCAATATCGTTTTGAAGATCATCACGAGTGCAGTTCTCGGATATTTCAAGGACCATTTCAAATCGTCTGCATAAAGTAAACATTTAGCATGCTGCACCACACTGACAAGATCGTTAATCATTAAAAGAAAAAGTAATGGCCCCAGAATTGATCCTTGACTCACCCCCGACAACGTATAATATGACCTCGAAAGAAAGCACCCGTGAGAAACAAATTGTTTTCGGTTCAATAGGTAATTTGCAAAAAAATGCAAAAGGTTAGGCGTGAATCCTATGGCCTGTAAATTGCTCAGCAAAATATCGTTATCAACTTTGTCGAATGCCTTTCTAAAATCAAAATAAAGAACATCCACCTCGTGACCCCTGTCCAGACCCGCTGAGACGTAGTCAACAAGTGATAACAGATTTGTTTCAACTGATCGGCCCTGTCGGAACCCACGTTGTTCATCACATAAATGTGATTTTAATAGATAGTAAAGTTGTTTATGTGTAACTGTTTCAAACACTTTGGCTGGACAAGATAAAACAGCAATAGAACGATGCTCTTCCACGGAAGATTTATTATTAGATTTTGGTATCGGCGTAACCCGAGACAACTTCCACTGGTCCGGATAAGTGGCAATTTTGAGTGCCAGGTTCATTATATAGGTTAGTGGAGGAGCGAGATAATCCCTACATGCAATTAAAATGTATGGTGGAATTTTATCGGGGCCTATGGAACTCCGCGGTTTCAATTTAAGAATTCCGTTTTTGACCTGAGCTATAGTGTAGTTCTCGATATGTATGTAGCCCCCGTCGGTTGTAGCTGTGACAGGCACTATATCATCAGCATCTAACATTGGGTGGTCTGACAAAAAAACACTTGAAAAATAATCCGCAAAGGCATTCGCTGCGTCCTTGCCGGTGAAGGTCTGACTTTTGTAGCTCACCGGGGGCTCAAAGCCACCCTTGGACCGAAGACTCTTAATGTACGACCAAAATTGCAATGGCCTAATCACGCCTAATCCTGTCTTCCATTGCCGCAATGTAAGTTTACCACTTATGAGTGGTTCAAAGCGTTCAAAAGCGATCGAGATGTGATGGAAGATTTGCCTCGCTCTGGTAGGCCGTCAACGTCTGCAACTGAAGTTAACATCGCAAAAGTAAAAGAAATCGTGACTGAAAATCCCCATATACAACTCTGAGAGAGATAGCCGCCGAACTTTCTGTATCTCACGAGTCGATCCGTACCATTTTAACTAATCATTTGGGTATGAAATATATTGCTGCTCGGCTAGTCCTAAAAGATATACATTTTCTCCAAAAACTCAATCGCATGAAAGTCGCTGAGGACATCCTAGAACCAGTCAGTTCGGACCTAACATTCATGAAACGCATTGTTACTGGTGACGAGACGTGGGTTTACGAGTTTGACATGCAAACTAGTCAACAAGCTTCGAAGTGGCGCCTTCCAACTGAACCGAAACCGAAAAACCACGCCAAAGTCGATCAAAAGTCAAAGTCATGTTGACTGTTTTCTTTGACTATCGCGGTGTTGTGCACTCTGAATTCTTGCCGGAAGGTCTAACGGTAAATTATTATTTGAGCGTTATGCGGCGTTTATGAGTGCAAATTCGACGAAAAAGGCTGGCCTTTTTCGTCGAAATCTGGATTTGTGGAAAGAAAATTCTTGGATTTTGCACCACAACAAGCCTTCGCACAGGGCGATCTCATTAACGAATTTTTGACCACTCAAAAAATTCTATCCAGCAATCACCATATTCACTAGATATGGCTACTGCTGACTTTTTTCTTTTTCCTAAAGTCAAATTACCACTTCGTGGCACCCGTTTTCAATCGATAGAGTCTTCTATCTAAAAATTATGTCTATAAAGGAGAATTTGCGGCGAGAACTGAACTCAATTCCGGAAGCGGCGTTTAAAAAATGTTTTGATGAATGGATTAGGTATTCGTTGGCGCAAGTGTAGGTATCGTTTCTAAAGGAGCATACTTTGAAGAATTTGACACAAAAGAACATTTTGTGTATTAGTGATCTTTTCCCAGTACTTTCTTGACAGAGTAGTATATTCGATAAGTAAGAAAGAAAGAAGAAAGAAAGAAAAAACATTTATTCGACAGTAGGCACGCACACAGACACAAAAAAATACAAAATTAAAAAAAGAAAAAAAAAACAAATAAATACACATATTTATATAGATATAGAAAAAAACAAAGAACGACAGAGTATAACAACACAAATACAATACAATAGTAGCACATTAATTAAAAATTAATAAAAACAAGATATAAATAACGTTTAACGGCGCGTGCCCTTGCCAAAAGGGCCTCCATCTCAGCATTAAGTTGAGTGTACTTACATGCCCAACGCTGATTTTCAGATGGCACCCTGCAGTGACTCACGGAGGGCGTAAGCCGCTCAATAAGAAAAAATAAATGAAATATAAAGCATACAATTAAATTAATAATTCTGCGGAATACGTGTTTGTGTGTGTAAATGTGTGAAAAAGTGTGATCCAAAATAGTGTGGCTAATATGTGAATAATAATAATATAATACCTACATTTAATTAAAAAATTGAGGGTTATTAAATAATTTTGTTTGTCAGCCAGGTAGTAATTTAAGTAAAACAACAAACTGAACTGACAATATAACAAAATTAAAATCTTACTATTCTTAATGCTTAATTATTTTACTAAGAAAATGTTAGTGAAATGAACGTTCAACTATTATTAATAAATTAATCTTCCGTAAGTAAATCAAATTCCTACTTACGTAGGTAACGTAGGCCGTACGTAGTCGTCCGGCTCGACGTGCAGGAGAAAGAACGGGGTGGTTTTTCGTCAGTAAGAGTCTGACACTCCCTCCCGCCTCACCTAGGCGGGAGAATGCATTCGATGATATTCCCACCTTTAAAAAAGGCCGTACGTAGCCGTAGACCGTAGGTACCTACTAACTCAAAAGAAAATACACAACAAAACAAACTATAGACTACTAACCAAACCACTGCAACACAATAAAATACCTTAATAATTGAAATATATAATACTACATTACTTATAAAACTACTTTTTTTTTAAACGACCCAACAACAATACTTATTGTCAAACAACACTTTTTTAACATCAGAACCTGTGGAGAATGGTGACATCGATTATCATCATGCGGCGCACTTGTCGGTCTATCACATTAGATACGTTATATAACATTATCATATCAGTGGTCTATCACCACTATGTCAGGTTTATTGGCTACAATAGTCCTGTCAGTACCTAATGGTAATGATAGACCGGTCCCAGTACAATGTGATATGATCATTTTTCAAAACTGGGTCGGGTACATACTTGTAGTACGGTACCTCAGACTCAACAAGTCGATAAGTGCAAAGCAAGTTGCTGATGGATAATAATCTTGGCTACTTGATTACGCCTATGCAAATATTCACTGTTTACTTATTAATATACAGTCCGTATAATAAAAAAGTGATGCATATACGAATAGTTAATTGCAATCACAAGAGCAACTGTTGGAACTATATAATATGCACTCGCCCCCCGCAGATCGGCAACTCGTTTCCAATACGGCCTACCGAACCTATCGGATTACCGGGCCTCCGGCTCGACGTGCAGGAGAAGAAACGGGGTTGGTTTTAGTCAATAAGAGTCTGACACTCCCTCCCGCCTCACCCAGGCGGGAGCAGACATTCGATGAGTTTCCCCCCTTAAAAAAACCGTATTTTTGTTCACCAGATGGCACTAGTGTGGACCTCTCGTTCTTTGTCCAATAGGGAATTAGCTAAGTGTCACACCATTGCAAAGAGTATAAATAATAAGTAGATATAATAAGCACCATTGGACGTCGATAACGACAGGTAACTTATTTTATTTCATGTCCGTCTGGTAGATTATTTTTAAACATACGTATTTTATCTTCTCTTACGGATACAAATTACTACTTTCAACGATGTATTAGTGATTTGCAATTTCACGTGTATTTTATACTTAAATGTGACATAGCTAGCTCCCAAAATTTTATTTTTTATTTCAATTCCATTTCGACAGCAAAAGAAATTATGCTTTTGATTTCTTTAATAGGCACCAATATTTTTGGACATCTTTCGTTGGCTATACTCCAATAGGGGTACCATACTCTGAATACCAAAGATACTCTTTACATTTATCTTATCTTATATTAAGAATATATATCTTATCTTATATTAAGAATATCTAGAGATATTCTTAATAGGATATCTAGAAATATTCTTAATAAGTATAGAGGAACTGAATAATTAAAATGGATAGATGCTGAATATTTATTCGTTTATACTTATGTATTATCCAAAAAAAGTGGCTAGGTACCATAATATACTCATTATTTATCTCTATTTTCAGTATTTATCCTAAAAACTCCCATCTCTAGATGTGACGGACGAACAGCTGATATGAACGTCCCGAGCGCGAAACCTTTGAAATTTGACATTAACAATTGACTTTGACATGACAGATTACTTTCAGCTTGGAGTCGAATGTATCATCGATTAATTTACGCCGTACTTCATGTTCATAGTAGCAAACTAGTGGCACTATCTTATCGCTTCATTATTATTATTAGAAAGCCGTATCATCCAGTTACGCAACGTACGTATTAGGCTATGTAAGTAATGCGTTTATTACTGAGGCCGATAGTTATAGTTAGGAAGGCGCTGCAGGCGAACAGGAGCGTGCAGTTGAAGCATCCATTCACAACAGGTACGACGCTCGCACCGCGGCGTGTCTAGTAGTCTATGATACCGATATATAAATACGGAAGGACCTCGTTCACGGTCTATTTTGGAAATGTGCCAGTTAGATACGAAGTGTTAGCTAAACATACAAGTTTGATTTGTGTTTTAGCATTAGTGTGGAGAGCCATGGAGGATAAAGAGTCGTTGAAGAAAAGATTAACTCCCCTGCAGTATCATGTTACTCAAGAAGCGGGAACAGAAAGACCATATACAGGTTATGCTTTAGTCTAATTGATGTACCATGATATCCTACAATGAAAACAGTTTCAAATTGTTTCTATAATAAAATATGTTCCTGTATATTTCAGGTTGTTACAACAAATTCTATGAGGAAGGCATGTATTGTTGTGTAGTTTGTAGGCAAGACCTATTTACTTCTAAGACCAAGTTTGACTCAGGATGTGGTTGGCCAGCATTTAATGATGTTCTCTCTAAAGAAAAGGTTACTTTACACCAGGACACAAGTGCAGGTATGTACAGCTATGTAAATAAACATCCTGTCAGTGTATTTATGTGACTAATGCATGAAATATTAATACATAGTAAGTAATAGTTTTTAATAATTTGAAAACTATTTGGGGTATCAGTCTCATGTCCAACAGAATTACTACTAGAATGAAAATATTTGTGATGTCTGTTTTGAGATTTGTTATTCGATAAATTCAGTAAAACAAAAACATTATAGAAATGTTTGTTATTAAAAATTAAAATTTGTTATTATCTTGATCTCTATATTTAATTATAAATATCACTAATATTTTTGTCCACATTGGTGTAACATTTAAAACATTCATTGAAATGAACAATAATATGGAACAAATTTTCAATGCCATTCAATAGCACACAGAGCATTGGATATAATAGACTCAACTGACAATAGTGTTCCTAAAGCAGGCCTCCATACAAGGTTGCTGTCTAATTCCTTCCACTGCCAGTATCCTTCATTCTAATTTTAGTAGTAAATGACAGTGCACAACAACTTTATAAGAACTTAAGCAAATCAGGTGTTAGCTTGACTCATAACTGTCACTTCACTGTTATTTATTATTAGAATTGGAAGCTTACCCATTTCCATGACAAGTCATCACTTTGTAATTGCACATTTGTCATTTATGCCTTATAAATAGGTATCACATGGAATATCCATTCAATAATTCTTGCAATTTATATGAATATATTGTTGGATTTATCATACTGCTTTATAAGTAATATTGTCTTCTTCATCATTTGCATTACAACTAAGAAGTAGTAGTACTTAATATTAAATTTTTATTGTCAATATTCTCAATAATAGAACATAATAACTGACTCCAACTCTATAAAAATTTTGATGTAAAATAAATGTTCATACTAATTTTGGGTTTACATTACATATATATACATTTGGTTTTACATTGGATATGTAAAACCCAGCGGGAAATGTAATAATATTTGTTATTGCACTGTCCAATAGAGGACAGTATGACTTGGCAAAATTTTGCATATTTAATTCTAGAATTTTTGTCCAATCATTCTTGCCTTGATATCAAATTTTACAAGAAGTGCCTATTATTATATATGTACATATTATTATCAAGTAATGCTTGATAACAGTATTACACTAAACATTTCAACAGACGGTATTATAGTGAGATTGTGACATGTACCCTCTAGCTATCAAATTACCTCGAGCAACACATACCTATAAAAGTATAGTGTATAGTATTACTTCGATATCTTGATTCATACCTTACCTTATTTATACATACACTGTGTTGTGATCCAAGACTGCGCCCTTCAATCATTGGAATATATAATATATACTTAATATTTAATACATTCCTAATACTAGGTACTTCTCAATATCTGTTTATTTTAAACAGAATACTTATTTATTATATTTAAATTTTATATACTAATACAAATAAATTTAGAATAGTTCCAACAAAGACATTTTACATAACGGGCGGAAAACCTAAAAACAAAAATAAAAAACAGTTCTAATAATGTTCCTGTAAATATGTCATATTTTAACATTACAAAATCCATCACATTTCTTTAGGTTAGCCAAGCTACAGCAGGTTAAATAAGTATTTTTATGAATACATAATTATGCCTAATCCTTAATAAGATATAAAAATAAGCATTTAGTATTCCCATTTATGTGATAAAAACAAAATCTCGTATCCTGTCACATGATAATCGAAATGGTATTATTGACTTAGTATCACAATGATGTTTGAACAAGTAATAAAGTTAATATAAACAAAAGGCCCATGTGAGCCAGACTCGATACTCACAAGAAGAATAAGAAAGAAACAAGAATAGATTGCATGACAGCATGACATATTGCTTCACAATATGAAAGACAATGTGATGGTTTTGAATTTTTACAGTCAGTGTAGGATACATTTAATTGTTTATATAATAGGTCCAAACCACATCCAATAAAAGTATGTAACTCCATATACAATTGTTACAATGTGTAAGATGATGATAATAATAATGAGTCTATTTAGACTTAATGGCATGCAAAACATTGATGTAAATATTCAGCATGCGCTTTGGTTTGGTTTTTTGGAAAGCATGATTTTAAACTAATCTTAGTAATTTCAAAGTTTAATTAATTTAACATTAATTAAAACAGTTATGCCCAGCAATATACTAGTATAGGTACTACACAAACAATATTTTTTATATTATGTAATAACTTTTTGGAATATTTATTTATAAGAGACAAAACGATTCATAAAATATTTGTAAATATATTTAAATTTATTTTATACTTGTGAGCCATAAAATCTGGTGATGGGAAATTGGATTCTAGTGCTAATACATTTTATCTTTTTTCTGTCTTCCCTGTATCCTTGACCATCCTCCGACACAATCCTGACTCCACAACAAACGTAAGTCGGCCCTGATTGGTAATCGTTGGTTAAATCGAATATGATGCTTCATCTATCTACGTTTAACAATTATTGAAAATGCACTGTGTGTCACATCTCGTTACTTTTTACACAAATACGCCTCACTCGCAAATAATATTGCAATGTATTCATGCTATTTTACATAATTTTAATCTCGTTCAACTCTGGTTGGACGATCACAAACAATACACAAACGATCACACAATTCAATTTGGATGCGGCCGTATTGTTCAATTACTGCATCACTCGCTACTTAACTGTTACACGCCTTTATTGTGACATCACCTAACTGTTGTGGAATGCGCATGATAAATAATATGCATTTGTCCTCGCCACCTGAACCGCCCCGTCTTGTCCCGTCCCGCCTGTGCTCCTCCTGGATGGCTGCCGGCTGGACACTGCGCCGCGGCCGCTGTGACGACGCGTGCAAACACCATGCTCTCGACACCGACTCGGAATATTCATATCATTCATTGTTCAATGTGAAATGTAAATAAATGGCTTTTTGGTGATTGGACCTGGTGTGTGAAATGGAAATCATTAAAGTTGGAGCAAATATATTACTGGTTTTAACACGACCAGGTTTGGTGCGAACTGAGGTGCGATGCTCCAAGTGCTCCGCTCACCTGGGACACGTGTTCGATGACGGGCCAGCGCCCACACGAAAACGCTTTTGCATTAATTCTGCTTCTTTGGACTTCATACCTGCTGAAGAGAGGAAAGACTAAAGTGTCGCCACGTGAAAAATAATACGAATATGATATAAACTATGCCTTGTTTGTAGTCCTAAGTACGAAAATGCTTTGATCAAATAATTGGGCAGAATTTAATACTCGTAATAATAAAATCAAATGTTTGAATTTGCTTCTATTGAATCGAATATGTACTTGTAATAAACAATCCGAAGATTATATTTTTATAGAGAATGTCACCTTTGTGCCTAATCATAATTACTGTCTACGTGTCGCAGATACCAGAAGGTATTATTTTTGTAAATTCCTATCTACATGATTGTACATCGGTACCATTAAAATAATTGTTGTTGCTACTACGAGGCACCTTTTTTTTTTATTTAAAGACAGTAATAATTTAGTTACCATACTAAGTCATTGTTATTTTAATTTTATGTGCACACCAATAAATAGTCTCCTGTGGCAAATAAAAACCAATACCTATTACTAAAATATAATATTTCTACTGTCGGGTGATTAAGTCTTGAATTACTTTATGATTATTAGACTTGGAGATTACTTGTGGTGATTTTGTTGTTAATAATTTATTTTTTATAATGACATAAAGTGGTACTTGTGTAGTACAAATCTTTATACATAACTGCTGATTATTTTATTAGATACATAGATATTATTTGGATACTACAGTAAATATTTTTTGTAACGTAAACAAGTGATTTTATTTACATAAACATAGATTTATGAAGTTAAAGTAACCCGATAAAACTCACTTTTTGCCGACAAGCTCATCCTTGTAGCAACATCGTACTAGGGTCTTAACGGATACCTTCTTCGCGGAGGCGAATGCGGAAAAGAGGTTCGCTTTCGCGGTTGCGGAAGTTAAAGGACTCGAAGGCGGAAGTGAAATTCTAAGTGAAAGAAATAGAAATTCATGCTTTAAGTCAAACATTTTACCGAAACTTGGTACTATTCATCATACTCCTGGGAAGGTTATAGTATACTATATCCTTTTTATCACGCTACAATCAATAGGAGCAGAACAGTGAAGGGAAATGTTGGGAAAACAGGAGTAGTTACTCCATTTTTTATGCTACAAAATACAAAAGTCGACGGCGGCTGGTCAGCGCGTGGTCCACTCGAGGTGTAGTCGAGGCGCCCACGGCGCTCCGCTCTCGTGGCGTCACGTCGGCGAGCTGACGGCGAGCCGCCCACCAGGCGCCAGCGAAACAACGTCGCATCATAGGTAGGTATTGTAATGCTACATTTACCTACACGCTCGCGCGAGATGACACGAGGTTGAGGTACAATGCAGTCTTATAATGCGATAAAAACTACAACTCTTAGAATATCGACAATGTATCTCGGCCTCGTCTCGACGCGCGTGAGTGTAAAATATATAAAAACTTTCACCGCGAGCTGGAAGCGCGCGGTCACCGCGACGACCGCGACGCCGCGCCGGAGCCGTGCGTTATAAATGTTGGATGACCTTTAATGGTTAAAGCTACATAGAAATCATGTAGAACGGAAATCTTCTACATAAAATCATCTAAAAAATATCCCGGAACAGAATATGTCTATCTTATATATGATTGACTCACAATAGCACGTGTAGGTAACTCTGACAGCTTAGCAGTTTGGAGCGTGTGCGTTCGCGCAGCGGAATGTTGTTGAATTTAAAGATTTTAATTATGCAGTTAATTAGTGTATGAGGTCTAATAATTTTGTATGGTAAAAATTATTGTGTATTGATTGAGGAGATCCATTGAGGAGAAATTCACCAAAAACTGATTCCGCTGGGAGAACGTTGTCCTGGCGGAACTTGTTTTAATCCATAGACTTTAGAAGAAAAGAGATGTGTCCAAAAATTTGTGTGTATTTGTGTGTAATTGTTTATATATGAATGAAATCAGCGCATGCATAAACTTCGGAGAAATTGAAGTTTCCGCTACGCAAACGTTTGGCCATTAGCTAGTATTCATATAAAGCGATAATAATATAATAATTTAAAAAATGTTTTTTAGAACCAACAAGGAAACATCCTCTACCGCCACCTGTATTGATAATGTTTTCTGTAATTGTGACTACAAAGAAAAACATATTATAAGTAGCTTGCCATCCGACCACTGTGGACTAATGGTAGCGTATAGCTCTTATTTACCTATCCAAAAACTTCACCCGAGCGTACGGCGCGTCGCGTTCCGCGCGCGCCTCAAAGAGCCATCAGACCACCACAGATGGGGCCCAATAGGGCCGATGCCGATTCGGAGTCGCGGAGAACCTAACGGGTAACCGGGGCTCCGGCTCGACGTGCAGGAGAAGGAACGGGGTGGTTTTTAGTCAGTAAGAGTCTGACACTCCCTCCCGCCTCACCCAGGCGGGAGCAGTCATTCGATGATTTTCCCCCCTTAAAAAAAAAAAACTTCAAATAAGATTTAGATAAATTACGTTCACAAAATTGGAGAAATTGAGCAATTATTAAGCTACTGTAATATACTTGAAGATTGTCTTGGTGGATTCTCAGGGGCGTAAATAAAGTTCGACACACGTATGACTGTAAACTGTATATATTGGAGTAAACTAAATAACTATATATATAGGTAAACAAAGTTGCACAATAATACAATGGGATACTCAAATATTTCGCGGTACAAATACGGAGCGCGTGCGTCACGAATCCGGCGCGGGACTCGTTCTCTCCAGCGTAGAGCGGTCAGTGGCGGGGAAGCGGGGGAAGAGGAATAGAGAGGTGGCGTGTTTCCACTAGAGTTGCGCGCGTGCGTCCGACACAAACCAAAATCGAATTGCCGCGTTACACTACTGAATGATGTATGAAATTATTTACATACATACATACATAACTTCACGCTTGTCTCCCATGGGGGTAGGCAGAGACTAAGGAACGCCAATTACTACGATGAAATTATTTGATACTAGTAATCTGAATAAATTCTACATCGATTTCTTTGAGATGTTAAACAAGGAATTTAACAATATTTTGCCAATAAAAAATAAAGATATTCATACCAAATTTGTATTTAGCGAACTGTAGGTATTCGTAAGAGTAGGCACAGATTTTTTGAACTATATGGTATGAAACCGTACAATAACAACGCCCCAATTTCACCAGTATGTAACATTCAAAAACCTTTAGAGTAGTATGTAAAGTCGCGAAACGTCTTTATATTAGTAGTGAAATAAAATCATCTGACGATAAGATAAAAACTACTTGGAAAGTTATACACAACGAGACTGGTAGGAAAAGATTAAGAAACTCAGAATTTAATTTAATTACCGAAAGGGGACAGATTTCATCAAACGTAGATGTAGCCCAGGAGTTTGGAAATTTTTTTATCAACATTTCTATCAAAACTACTGAACAGATCAGTAAACCTCTCTGTAACTTTGCTTAAGAACAACATAGAATCGTGTCAACACAACTAGTTTTTTGATATACGAATCCTCTAGAAACTATAAAAGTTTTTAAAGAAATCAAGGCCAAATCAACGGAGGATCTTTGGGGATTGTCGGTAAAAGTTTCCAAGTCACTTATTTATTTATTTATTTAAAGCTTCATGCACAAAATGTACACTAGGTGGACTTAAACTGTCAAACACCAAGCGGTCACCGGTGACCGCAACCTATTGTTCTATAATTGTGTCTACAAAACCGGTACTCGACGAGTTAATGCCGCAGGCATTCTCTCCCAGTCTGACCTTTGGGTGATGCAGAGAAGAGTTAATGGTATGAGCAAGAAGCAAGCAATTATTTAATAGAGCAAATAAAATAGATACACTTACATATTTCAGAGATAAACATAAATACTTAAACATAATAATAATATACTAGCGACCCGCCCCGGATTCGCACGGGTGCAATATGTATATACATACAAACCTTCCTTAAGAATCACTCTATCTATTAAAAAAAACCGCATCAAAATCCGTTGCGTAGTTTTAAAGATCTAAGCATACATACGGACATACAGCGAAAGCGACTTTGTTTTATACTATGTATTGATATACCTACACACGAGTACAACACAATACACATGCATGCATTCATACACATATACATATATACATACATACATAAATATAGACTGTGAGTATTAAAACTGTAGCGCCATATCTGGCTGTGATTTTCAATAAATGTATAGATGTCGGTGTTTTTCCTGACCTAATGAAATATAGTAAAGTTATCACACTATTTAAAAGTGGTGACACTAAAGAACCTAACAACCAGTGTCTGTTTTGCCGGTTCTCAACAAAGTATTTGAAAAGCTGATGCTGTCTCGGATGCTTCATCATTTTAATAAACATTCTATCTTTCACCAACAACAACACGGTTTCACTAAAGGTCGTTACCCAACTAACGCCGGTGTCACTTTGATTAAGGAAATATTTGGCGCTTGGGAGGAAGCACAGGATGCTATTGATGTCTTTTGTGACCTCTCAAAAGCATTTGATTGCATTGACCATGAGACACTTTTGCTGAAATTAGAGCACTACGGACGGGATAAGAAACTCTGCGCTCCGTCTTATGAAATCTTATTTAGAAGAAAGACAGTTACTTACTTAATTGTGTAAAACTCAAATAAAAAAAATATTAGGCGATTTATAAGGTTCATTGTAACGGTATTATCTCGCAGGGCTCTGGAAATAAATATGGGCGTTCCTCAAGGTTCAATATTGGGTCCCTTTCTCTTTTTAGTCTATATAAATGATTTGCCATTTATATTTAAAAATGAACCAAGAATGGTGCTTTTTGCAGATGGTACATCATTAATTTTTAAAATAGATCGACGTACAAATAATCTTGACTACGTAAACAGCTCCATTCTTTGAGTGCATAATTGGTTTACCATTAACAATCTAGCACTAAATGAGAAAAAATCCAAATGTATTAAATTCAGTTTAACTCGTCGAGTACCGGTTTTGTAGACACAATTATAGAACAATAGGTTGCGGTCACCGGTGACCGCTTGGTGTTTGACAGTTTAACAAACGTGCGTATTAACGATTGTGATGTTGTTTTGAACGGTCAAAAGTTGGAATTTGTCGACGAGACGGTATTTTAGGCATTACGTTAGATAATAGGCTACAATGGGGTCCGCATATAAAGGCGCTCTCGGGAAGATTGAGCTCAACCGCTTTTGCAGTTAGACAGATTAGACAGAACACGGACGTAAATACAGCAAGGCTTGTCTATTTTAGTTATTTCCACAGCATCATGTCATACGGCATTGCCCTGCCCTGTCAATATAATTATATAATAATATGAAAATATAATGTATTTAAGGAAAAATAGGCAATTGTTTGAAAAAAGAAGCGATAGACACAATTTTAACACTAGAGGCAAAAATAAGTTAGCTATACCGTAATTCAGACTGTCCAAGGTACAGAAATCCTTTATGGGGTTAGGTAATAAAATACCAAATAGCATACTAGATCTCAATGAAAGATAATTTAAAACATATATTAAGCGCGAATTATGTAATCAAGCTTACTACACACTGACAGATTATCTTGAAGATAAGAATGTTTGGCAGCATGTTGTTTCGGCTCCACTGGACAATACTCAAATGTAGTCAGTAGTTAGATTTCAATAGTAGGTAATTTAATACTTTCATTCTAATGTAGACAATCTAGTTTCCTTATGGCATCGAGCATTTCTTTCTTTATTGAAATAAAGAGTTTCCTATTTCTTGTATAGGAGCACTATTTTTATG